GTCTTATTTATTATAAATTTCAATAATATGTAACACTTCTTTGCCATAATAACCATTTGTATAACATCGATCCACCGTCAAATCTCATTACTAATCTATATTTTATTCCTAAAAACTCCTAAATATTTAGAATAATATTCATAATGAAACTAATGATCCAATCTCACATAGGGCACTTCCAATTTGGCTCTGTCGATAACCAATCTCGAATGATTAGTAACTTCTCACCATTCAAATTCAACCTAATAATAAGAAAATTATTTCTTTTGTTTATTTTGTTCATATTCGTAAAGTACACACCCAAAATAACTCACGGTCCTTGCAAAATTTTATTTTTATAAAAGGAGCTACATTTCTAATTTGATGACAATACTTGCGCCGTTACAAATCACAAGCTTTTACAAAATCAAGTGGTTTATCTCTTCGCAATTCTTCTCCCACTTAATAACCATAAAAAATTTTCTCATCGCCATCATGTTAGAAACTATGCACTCCTTTAAGCTTCCTCAAAATAAATATTCTTTCTTTCTTGTATATATGTTGTAATAGTCCATCCACATGTTCCCAAAATTAAATTTTTACACAATCTTCAATTTACTTGAGCCTTCACTGTATTTATAAAATCATAGGCAATAATAATTCGGATAGCAACAATCAGCATATTCACCTCAACAAGATTATCATTGAGCACTTTCTTCATTACAATCTCAACTCAATTTCTAGTGTAAATTACTATTAAACATTTGCCAATGACCTTGACTTTTTTCCCTTACCATTTATTATCTAGTGAACACGTGATATTTATTATTTTTATAATAACAGTGTTCACTAATCTCTTATTTTCTAATTCAAAGTCTCCAAATTTCATGAAGAAAATTTAATATTACTTCTGGAAATTTCAATTTCACACCTTCTCCAGTGAAGAAAGAAATACAAGTTGAAGCTTATTGTGCCAATATTCAACCTTAAATAATGATGTAAAATAAAATCTCAATCATATATAAAAAAACCCACTCAACCAAATTCTAATTAATTTAACTAAATTATAGACAAACACTAGAGTACTGATACAAAACCACGAACACTATCTGCATAGTGAACAAATTAAAAAACACAAAAATTTATCACAGCATATTGTCCTCTATCGAAAATCATCAATACATCTGATACTGGAGTTAAAACCACATATTATTGCAGACAAACAAAAATAGAAATTGCAACAGAGATGACATAAAAGCAATTAGTATTGAATCCCAAGTGGAGGTGGTGGTGGTCGATTAGGGTCTGGAAGGTGGCAGGTGGTGGAAAAGAGTGGTTGGAAAGCAAAGGGGAAGGGAAGGAGCGGCTGGGAAGGCAAGAACAGCAGTGGCTGTCCCGGGGCATTGAGATGAAGTATAACAGCAGCTTGAGGGGTTTTAGCGACAGGCAGCGAGTAGAGAGCAGTGGGACAGCAAGAAAATAGCAGGTTTGTTGTTTTCCGGATGGCAGCAGTGATGCAGATGGCTGGACAGCAGTCAAAACAGCGATGCGATGGAGGGAACAAAGGCGGCAGTGAAGGTGGAGGGCTGGAACAGCAATGACAGCGAGGAGAAGGGAGGGGAAGACGATGTTGGTGGGTGGAATTGCAGAAACAGCAATCAGAATGTTGTTGCGGGCAGATGCAGAGCTACGGAGATCGGGAGCAATGTGGGGAGGATGTAAAAGGGGATCGGAAAGATAATCACGACCTTGGGAGAGAAATACAGTCGGGGCACCACCCAAGCCCTCAAATATAACCCTTGAAAAGAGGAAACGGATGTCGAAGACTGTCTTAAACAAACTCACACAAAAAACTAACCCTAAGCACCTACAAAAACAAATATATAAAAATAGCATAACTAGTAGCCTAAGAAGACCGACAGACTCCTCAACAAGGACAAAACTTAGACCGGTCAGGTGAAAGTACAGCTGCCAAGCCGCTGAGTCATTCACATGACTCCCACATTGGGGAATTATATAGCACAAGAGCGCTCCAGCATCAACATAAAAAAAAAATAAAAAAATAGAGCACAAGAGCGCTCCAGCATCAACATAAAAAAAATAAAAAAATAAAAAAATAAAAACTCAAAATCAACTTCGTACAACTGTTTCTTTCAAAAATGCCAGTACAGATTCAGAAAAAAAATTAATAAGGAAAAAGCTTAATAACTCATCCAAAGAAAAAAGGAAAAGCTAAAAAATGGCTTAGGTTCGCTAATTATTATTCTATGGTTAATCACATATCTACCAACCAGGTTTTTAGAAATTTTTTTTTTTTTTGTTTTTATGAAAAATATGCTTAGAAATTTACCAATTTACATAAGCACATCTTTATGACATCATTAGCAAATTGGAGGTGGGAATATGATTATTTTCTACTTCATGCAGCACAGTAAATTTACAGTAAATGTACACACATCAATACATTTGTACATAAAATAACTTGCGTCATTTGTTTTATTGTTAAAAAAATGTGTGTTCACTCCCAAATTCACTGCCCTTAAATGAAAATGAAAACTTATTCCATTGCATGTAACCCCAGTACAAAAGTAAATGCTCAAATAATCAATAGAGCCATAAACCAACATAAGCCCATCCTAAAACTGTAGAAAATGGTGATAATCAAACAAGAGATACTTTCCAAAATTTATAGAACATTTTACAGGCCAATTGTAGATTCAAAAAACAGGCATAACACACTTTATAAAACCAACTATTATAAAATCCAACTTCCGAAACTTCCTACTTGAAAGGGAAAAGAAAATGGAAATCTTGAGATTCGTCAATAACGGCTTATCAGATAAATCAGAAAATTATTCACATAAATATCTTGAAGAGAGAATGTCAAAAGTATCATACCCGGTTCGCAAAGAGATTTTCCTTTTTACCATTCTTAAACAAAGCAAGCTGAAATTCTTCCTGCATTGAAGTTTCATGGATTGTTGTTTAATATAATTTTGAATACCGAAAAATACATTTAAATCCAATAGAACTTAGCAGTAACGAAGAATAAATGATGATTCATAAAACAACTCCAAGGAATAGGGATAAGAGTGACGATGATGATCAAATAAATAATGAAATAAAATGAAATTTGGCCAAACACCTCCTTTAATCATTATGCTATAGTTTAAATCATTATGCTATAGTTTATTGTTGAACAGGGGATAAATTTTAAAATATCTACAGGAAAATGTACAGACATAAAATAATTAGTTTAAAAAGCTGTTTTTATACACAACAAAAAAGAATATTCAAAATTAAGAAGAAAATTTATTAAAAAAAATTTTAACTTGTTACATTCAAAACTTTTCTCAATACAATACACAAAAAATTATGAATAATTGCAAATGACAACCGTGTCAAAAGGACATCTCTATCCTAAATTTCCTCCAACCATCTTAGAAAAAAAAAAGAGACAGAGAAAGAGAGAAAAGAACATATGAACATTATACATGATTCCATATACACTTAGTCCTCCCAGACTCAACAAAAAACAATGCCTTGAACATTAAACCAAATTGTCCTCTTTTGCCATGCATCCGCCTACATCACAAATTATAGAAAAAAATAAATAAGAAAAAAGAAAATTAAGAGAAAAAATTCCTCTCTTCTTCTACAAGAAATCAATAACCATCTTCTACTTAAGGGATCCTACTTTCCTTAAAAAGACATATTAAAATTCAAGACTTGATTGTTAAGTGATTCAGCCTTAACTTGTTTATCTCAGCTTGCTGATTTTACCATTAGACTTATATTTAGACCAAATCAACCTCACTCCTCACACTCAATGGAAGTAACAATCACATTTTTAATGATCCGTAACCAATGGCAAACTTTATGACTACCAAGCTCTGGAATAGAGTGTTTTAGCTCCATAAAATTGATATCAACAAACAAAAAAAAATCAGTTTGTTATGTGTCTTTGCTATTTTTGTTGGATTTAGTTAATACATAAAGTTAGCATGTTATAAGCAAATTAGTAATCAGATAACAATCTATTAGCAATCAGTGATGAACTATTAAAAGGTGCATTTCAGTTTTTAATAGTTAAAATAGTTGTATTTTTTATGTAATATGAAAGCTTTGGGTGGTATAAATGTAAAAAGTAAAATTTATGTGTTAGATACGTAAATACATAAGAATTGAGTGGTATGTATATAAATGCCCAAATTGTTTTTCAGCCAATTCTCTTTAGTTCTATCATAATTTGTCATATTAAACATCTGTAGTATTTTTTTTTTTTCTGGTCGTTCTTTATCATCATGCTTGGTCATTGTTGTATGTATAACTTCGTGATTTTTAATACAACGGCCACCAACACTCGGCCAAATAGTCCGGCATGTAGCCTCATCAATTTGGATTTAGAACTCCACTTATAAGACGAATTGAAACCATAATAGTAACAGTTGAGGCCACTTGGAAAGTTCATGAGATTCTCCAATCCTATCCTTCATAGTTCCTTCTGTATGCTCTATGTACTATAGCTTCACATAGCCCGCTCCTTTTGGATTCAGGCATTATTCTTTATGCACTTTCTTGGCTGACAATACAGGCCATCTATAAGAATTTCATCTCCAAGAAATTCAGCCTCAACTCTGAACATCCCCACAGAAATGGTAGATTCAAACATAGTGACAAGCATTATAACTTTTTTCACTTTTTTTGAGGAAATGAAAAATTGTAGAGTAAGGTAAACAAGTTTTACAACAAAACCGACAATAACAATCTCCCCACCAAAAAATGGGTCTCGTGTTCATGCAAAAGCAGGCAGATAAATGGGCATGTTGCCCATGCATAAACAACATCATTGCATGAAAACATGTATTCAAAATAAGTGCTATAACAAGTCAGAATGAATCAACCTCTCAAATATATACCTCTTCCACATAAAAGTGCACAATAACTAGGCCTAGATAGGAAACTAAATTACAGAACTTGCATAACCCGCTTAAGTAATTTACAAACTCATCAAGAAAAAAATAATATAACACAAAGTCGAATGTTGTTCAACGTTTACCTTGTTTATCAACCCATCATCAACCACAGAGCGACTGATGCTCTTAAACAGCTCAAAGAGTGCCTCCACTTCACTAACACTAACTGAAAGTTTAAGCTATGATCAGTACTAGCAAAGCCCCGCCCACAGGATTACAAGTATAATCTAGTGACTAGCATATGATAACCATAGCACAATGAACAGCAATAGAAAACAAGTAAATCTAATAACTGCAGTTGAACATTATAAATATTACATTAATAACAAATCCTAGAAAAACTGAATGCAATAATTAAGCATTTACCCAAGAATAATACTAATTTTAAGGTATTTTCTTTCAGATTCTGTGCTACCTTCATAACAAAAATTTAGTATATTTTAGCAAACAAAAATTCCAAAGTGCCACCTAACCCAAAAGTTTTTTTATTATTTAATTTTTTTTAAGGAATAAATTTTATTTCGGGCATCCTCTGGGACGTCTGCTTTTAAATTCCCTTGCATATGAAAGTAATAACAAGCAGCCAAAATCCATTCATCAGAAATGAAGCAATAAATAAAAAGAAAAACATCTAAACTTAACAAAATCGAAGACATACAAGACGTCTGTGAGGCGAGAAGAACAGGATCCTCATAACCCGGAAACTGCCTCCTAGACTTCGAGTGAAAGCAGCCCATTTAAGTCCTCAGTCCGCCAAAACGCCCGAGTCTCCCAAATCACAACACAAGCTCACCATCCCCATCTATAAATCACAAACAGTGAACCAATCACAACCCCGCATCTCGGTCGCCGTAGCAGAAAATTGCTCTGACCAATCATAGCCATCACCAATACATAAGAATAAAAGATTTCAAAAATTCTAATCGAAAAGACGATTTGAGAACCACAAATCGTAAGCCCTAACTTGCGCGAGAATTAGTAAGAAAAACCAACCCTCCGGACAGAATCCCACACGGAACTCGCCGAGGGAAGCCCGCAGACAGGAAGCTATATATATATATATATAGCGGCGGAAGAAGGCGGCGACCGGAAGGGAGGGAGGTAACTGCTGCCAGGTTACGCGGCGAAGGGCGACGGAACGGTAATTCCGTGCTGCGGTTTTCGAGAGCTCGGCAAGTGAAGCACGAAATAACCCACCACGAGCTGCTTTATTTAACACACCTCTGTTAACTGCGCCAAGCCAACTAATGTGCGGTTTTAGGTGCTTTAAAGATTCGCGGTTCTTGAGGTTAAAAATCCTATGCATATGATGGAATAGGAAACAGCAAGCGACCGCTTTATACATTTGCGAGAAAAATAACAGCACTTATGAAGAGAGAATTTAATCCAAAATTAAGGCTTGATATATTTTTT